GCTCAACACAACCCAGCGTTACAATGTGCCATAATTCCAGCCAATCAGAGACTAGGCTGCTAAATTCTGATTGGCTGCCTTGATAACCAATCACAACATTTCTTGCATTACCTCGAGAGCAGAAGAGGAAAAATACAGTGCCTGCATAATTATTATGCAAGTTGATATTCTGATTATATTTTTTTCCAAGCACATTTTACCAATAATTATAACTACTATTAATCTTGTATTTAATCACTTATAATCTATATAAGACGTTATTTAGTCGCCCAGAGTAAGATTTAGTCGCATTTGCGAGTGATTTACTCGCAATGTAGAGGGTTGTCAATGTAACTTTTAGTATTTCTGTTCAGTTAATTAATTACAATTAGAATATGCAGTTCAAAAGGCGATAAGAATTCATTTTTTAAAACAAATAAATACTTTTATTCAGTAAGGATGTATTAAATTGATCAAAAGTGACATTTATAATGTTACAAAATATTTCTATATTCTTTTGAACTTTCTATTTATCAAAGAATCTAAAAAAAAAGTATTGCGATTTCCACAAAAATATTAAGCAGCATAGCTGTTTTCAACACTGATAATAATCAGAAATGTTTCTTCAGCCTTGGTGAGCACAAGTCACTTCCTTTGAATACATTAAATAATAAATTATATAAAGTAAAAACATTTAAATATAAATAGATATTTAAAATGTAAAACATTATCTTTAAATTAATTAATTTAAAATATATATTTATAGACAACAACTAATTAGTGATTGTTGTAAGACAATTAAATAAATAAAAAATACATTATATAATATGTAAATTATATAAAATAAAAAATGTAAATATATAGATATTTCAAATTTTAAATATATATTTATGTGTATTTTATATAAATATAATAAAAATACATAATATAATAAATACAATTAAAATATGCGCTGTAATTAGTTGAATAAAGTTCAGGTGACAATCATAGAAATAATTGGATTGCCAGTGTTTCACATGCATAGATAGTTCACTGCTTTGTATGATAGTTTTATGGTGCTTTTATGGACCCTGTTTGGACATTGTATGCTTTCAATAATTGGAAAAAAGAACAACACAAGGCTAAATAATTTGACAGAAGTTATATTTTTAGGTGAACTATCTCTTTAAGAAGCTCTTTCTCCATGTAATTTATTAACATTCTCCTGTGTTATCTTATGTTATGGTATGTTAAGTTATTCAGACCAGTTTTTAGAAATCATACAGAAAAGTTCTACAGCATATGCAGTTCATCTCAAAAGTTATTGAGCTGTACTTTTTCAGCCCTAGTTTTAATCCAAATTTCTGAATGTTGTTGGAGACCTACTGTGGCAAAAGGTCTAAGAGCTCTTGCACCTGGAGATGGCTCCTTTGAGTAAATGTAGGCTGTAAATACAGGCTGATAATCAATGCAGGATTAATTGATGCAGAATGTTGGAGTGGTGGCTGCAAACACTCACAGAAGGTAAAGAGAGGAGCGTGTACTGAAACACCTGCATGTAAATGACACCAGCAATCACACACACTTCACATGAGCTCTTCAAAACCACTCCACATCCCCATTGATGATAAGAGTGAGTCCTGAACGTTGACTGAGTGTGTGTGTGTGTGTGTGTGTGTGTGACACAAACAGGTAGATTTCTCTTAAAATATAATGAAATGCAATTTATCTGTAATTAAAGTGGTGTCGTGGAGTGTTTGTAGGCTATGCGCCCTGCATACTGTGTATACTGTCTACTTTAAAAAAGTATGTGAAACAGTTTGCAGTGATAAGTGTTTAATCAATATTCTACTTTGTCACATGATCTCCTTATATTGCATGTTTCATTTAGCATATTACTTATGGAAGAAATAAATAATATTTAGTGTTTTTCATCTTTTTTTTTTTTTTTTGGTTAAAATGAAACAAAACCATTTTAAATTTTATATTTTAATGTTTAGCATTTTAAAATAATTAGTAAATTTTTCCTGAAATAGAAATATTCAATAAGAATGCTAAAAATCTGATTAAAAATCACATTAAATCTAACAGCTACAAACTCCAATTTAGATTTTTCTGGGGTCTTTAAAAAATGTGATGGATATTGCTTTCGGTTCATTTCATCAGGTTGAGTGCATTGCATTGTGGGACACACTGTCCCTTGAGGAGTGATTTGTTTAATATACCTCACATTTTTTTTACTTCTGCAGCAGATCATCTGTGTATTCAGTACATACAAAACATTTGCATGCATAAAAGTAGTATGAGTAGTATGCTTCTGTCCACTT